CTACTGAGTGGTTGCCCCATCCCAAAAGTGGCGTAGCATCAACAGCAGGCACATGAATACATTCACAATCAATGCACGTTTTAAAAATTCACATCTCCGTAAAAGCAGGAACATTCTTTTGTGCTATCAAAATTATTCTGACTGTGATCTCTGTAGTTTGAGCACGCTTCTCTGGAGAACTGGAGGTGGGAAAGGAGGAGTGTGAAAAGGGTGGAATATACTCAGTTTATAAAATCCAAATGTGTTAATTGTAAATAAAAGATGGAGATGCAAAAGGTGATACAATATCTCCTATTCATTGCCATCTGCAAGTTCACAGGAGTTTTTCATATGTGGAATTATTTGAACCATATTCATAGGCTGTAAACCTGACTGCAAACAAAAACATGTTGTTGCTTATGCCTGTCTGCTTGTGAATTATGAAGCATGCCAGTATATTCTTTGGCATATCCTAGTTACAACAGCATCTGTCCTGCATAAGTAGCCCTTTTGACCGCTGGAGCTACCTGATTTTTCTGAGGTGCTGTGCGGGCAGCCCCCAAAGCTCCAGCCAGCAAGTTCTGATGGGAAGGCAGGCAGTGAACACTCCGCATCACCGTGGTTTGTAACACCTGAATGTCACTCTAAAGTGATTTTTGATTGTACAGCATTGTTGAGAAGCTACTAGTTCTCCTTAAAAATCTTGCCCTTGGTGTCATCTGGTTTACTGGGAAATATCTTATTCCAGTTTGCTGTTCTGTTTTCCGAGTAATTAATCTTTGGGTTTATTGTGAAAAGCAGAGGGAATGATTCATTCCTTTGTAAAACTAGAGGTAGCTGATAGGAGAGGCATTCAGAAGTTCTGGCAGGTGATAAATTATTCTTTGCACCTGCATGAAGAATCGTAGTTTGGATGCTTCCCTGAAGCTAAATTTGTGCCAAAAAAATACACTGGTATGGTAGTGGCGGGCAGCAGCCTGGCACCTGGGGTGGTGGCTGTGAGAAGGGTTTCTCTGTGGCCAAACCCCTCTGCTTTAGAACTTCAGTTTGCGTTTGCTTACCAGAGCTTGAAAACTAGAATGATAGTGAAGTATTTTGGAGGAGGAAAAAAAAGTTCTAAACCTGTATGTAAATAAATATGGGATTTAAGTGTAACGTGAAGTATGGTGGTACGATGCATAGCACTTTGATGTTTAACATCCAAAACCTGAGTCTCTTATAGAAGAGGGTTGATCTGTCTGACTCACTGAGGCATCCTATAATGTGTAGTTATATTTATCTATCAAAACAAATCAAATATGCATCAATGTATTTTATAATGCAAGCTTTTCTATACTGTCTATATGAGAATCTTAGAACAAAATAGGTTCAAAAGCAGGTCTTAGAACAAAAGCAGGTTCTTGCATGCCAGAGAATTATTTAGTATCAAAAAAGGAGAAAAATAGAACTCAGAAGACCCTGTGCAGGTGCAAAATTACTCTCCTTGTCCGACTTTGTGAGAGAAGTGGGGTTTTGGTTGCACCACCCCCCACCCAGTATTTTCAAAATCTAGAGCTAATGGATTGGATGATGTTATCAGGGATCAATTAAATTCAGCAAACAATATAAAGCTCATACTGCAGCTTCTGCTTCATTTAAACACTGTTTGGACAATGTGAATCACCCGTTTATGAGGACAGAGGCTGTCATAAAGGCTACGATGTCTAGCATAGTTCAGTGACTCGCAAACACTTTCTAAAAGTCTGTCGAAACCTTACAGCCTTCTCTCGTCACTAGAAGGCGTCAGGTGGGTGGGTGTCAGACTGCATAGAGCAAAATTGTTTTGACTGAACAAAATATATTTTCCTGTCTTTGTGAAATACTGAAACTGGAGCAAGTTTTATTTAAGATAGTATTGACTTTCTTCTGAAAAGTAGTATGAAATTCATTATCTGTAACTTTCTTGATGTGAAGGTTCACAGCTGGGCTGTGGAGGCTGCTGTTTTTCCAAAGATCCTTACTTCCCTTTCTATACAACAAGCAAAGATACTGCTTGGGCTCTCAGAGGATAAATTTGGTTATATTTGACTGACATTAAGGCACTACAATTACAAAGACTGTATAAAAAAGCCCAGCCTAACCAGAAACAACGCATTTGCTTCAGTCTCTGTATTTGCATGCAGGTAGAACTTTCCCTCACCTTAAGTGTAACTAAGCAAGGAAGTCGCATTGATGTACTGAATCATATCCAAAACCAACTTACCCCTTGGGAATGAGGTCCTTAAAGATTTTAAAATGCTTACCTCTTGGAACTGCATTAAGGTTATTTCTTTCAACTGACAATACTTTCAAAGCAGGCAGGAAACGATCAACTTTTCCGTACTTTTCAGACCCATGTGCAGGCGTAGGAATGTCCAGTGTGAGGGTGTGGATGGCATTACTGTTGAGGTTTAGAGTTTCTAAAACAGGTAAATTTCTACAAGTAGTTAAGGAGAGTTCAGAAATCAGGTTGTTACTGAGATTCAGGTGTTTTAGCATCCATTCTTCATTCCTTCCATCAGTGCACAGAAAAGTTTTAATATCATTGTAACTAAAATCAGCCGTTATTGCTGTTTGTGGTATACCTTCTGGAACAGTAGACATTCCGGTAAAAGAACAATTCAGTAAGAACACCCCATCCCACCGGCAGTCTGAATGGTGATGTATGTCAAGAACAATCCGCTGTGACTTGGTTCCCACTGATCCAGGAAGATTAAAGTAAAGGACCACAGCTATGACACTCAAGTGACGGTTATCCATAATATCTATACATAAAATGTAAAATTATGGTAAATGCAGCATAACAAGAGTTAAACAGAAAGTGGAAATACTTTGACATTAAAAAAAAATCACCACCAAACAAATAGCCAAAGCATTACCAACGTTCTGCCTTAAAGATTCAGTTTTGGAGTCTTAGGTATTTTTCAAAAAGAACACTCATAACATGGTAACCTTCCGCCTCCCTCCACCTCTCCCAAAAAAACCAAGCCGAACCTTTTCTTTCTTTTCCAGCCCTTCGGTCGAGAAACACAGCTTCTCAGGAACTTGTGAGCTAACAACAGTGGAGACTTTTGAACTCTACTTCCGGTATTGTACACAATTGCCACTGAGCAAAGTCCACCACACAATCCATGACGAATAGATGTGGAATGATTTTCATACTTACAGGTAATAAAATACTAGTTTCCCTGTCAATAACACAAAAACGTATTTTTAACAGAAAACTACATTCTTACAAATAACACTTCTGAATCACAGCTGCATCTTAGAATTTATTGTTTCATTTCAAAACAAAGATTAGAAATTCAATTGTCTTTCACCTATTGAAACAACCATGACCTTTGCATATGCTGAGAACTCTTCACATGTAAGTTGTTTCAACACACCCAGTATGGTATTTTACACAGAGGCATGGAGAATGTACTTGAAACACACAGAATCTTAAGTGCATCTGTGGGATTGAAATAAATAATATGCCACACGATATTTTAAATATGTATAGAAAAAACGTACCTTAGGCAGTTAGAAGATAAACAACACATAAATGCTCAACACAAGGCATGTGTGGTGCCAACATTTCTCAAACTGTGTAGTGAAGGCAACAAAATATATTAACAATACATAAATAGTGGCTAACATATTGATAACTTGCTTCATTTGGTATTTGTATGATTGGTTCTGCTACATTTCAACAAAAAATCCACACTTCAAAACCAATTCTCCAGACCATGATTTAAAAGTACCTTTCTGACAAATCTTTCAGCTATGCTGCATACAGTATTTTAAAAAGAACTCTTTGCTCAATTACAAAAATCCAATACCAGCATATAGGCATGTCAGTATTAACCAGAGAAGAGCTTTAATATGCTCCTCGTATGTAATCTACTTGACTGAGGCAGTATCTGTCATCTTCAAGACCTATTTTAGCTTTGAGGATACTGCTGCTTATATTTTTCTGTGTGTGTGTGTATGTATATTTATATATAAAAAATAAAGTGCAAACTTCCATTAGCATGAGTGAAAATTCTAAAAATGTTACAGTTTATTTCCTCCTCTTAACTCTAACAGGTACTAATTGAGGCACCACTTAGCAGCAAAGATGCGTGCATGTTTTCAGGAAACTGTGTGTTGAAGCGGTTAATAAATATTAACTCTAGTAAAACTGTGAAGCTCATGAGGGCAGTATGCAAAATGTGGGTACCTTCCCATAATCTTTAATGTGAGCAATTAAGTAGCTTCTGCGACATCTTATTCGGTTTATTCTGCTTTTGTTAGAACAGCTGCACTGCTGCCCACCCCCCAAAACCCCAACAACTACTGAGGACCAAAATCTGGCTTTGCCTTTGAGCAAGGAGGGAAACGTGACCCCTCTGACCTGCCATGTGGCATAATGCCTGAGCTAAGGATCCCCCTCTAGAAACCACTTCCACTCACACACATCCTGCATGAGGACTTGCTGACTTCTAGTAAATACAGGAATTGGGATCTTGGATACAAAGTTCTTGTTGCAGCAGGAGCCAATTTGTATTTTGTGGAGGTCTATGTACTTTGAGAGATATAAAACAAGGGTAGGTCGTTTATCTTCCCATAACAAATGACCAATAATGAAGTTAATGTGTAACATTTGCACAACTTTTAGGAAGAGAAGTGTGTGCTTATCTAGAAAAACTTGTCAAAAAGCTGCTTGCAAAGTCACCTTTGTGGCCTCCATTATTAAGGTTACTTGATGCTACTGCAAAACAAAACTATTTTAAACTGAAAAATACATGGGGTGGGGAAAGGAGGAATCTTACCATGAGCTGCTCTATTTTTAGTACAGAACACCTTACCCCTGCAAAAGCAGTTACAAGGCTGTAATAGTTTCCTTAAGGCCCCAGTTCACCATAGACACAGTTTCACTGTTGACAAATTCAGATACACATGTATTTGCTCTGCTGTCACAGGATTCCATACATCACAGACCTGCAGTTTAACTCTGGAACTTAATGGTGAGGTTCTCAGTAATACCTGACACTTATGGGGAAAATGCGATCTGGTCTCAGACATGGCTGCAACAGTCATGCTTTACATTATTACCTGTTGAATAATGGCTTCATGTACTGTTCACATTAAAGCACCCAGGAAAAGGTTTTGTTTTTTCTTTTCGGGTAGTGAGCAAGTTGTAAGTACATCTTTAAAAATGTACTTCTAATATAAACACGTTTCATAAACACTTCACATAAATTAAGCAACAGCAGGATGCCTAAACTGCACAGATAGAATGGGAGCTCAAGCAACACTTCAATAATGGCAAGACTATTTCAACACTGAAGTTGCACTTCCACACTCAATATTACTTCGCAAATATTATTTATGCTAGCATAATTTTTTTAACTACATGAGAATATATGGCAGAAATACTGCAATATTTTAAAGTGAATCTGCCATTACCCCTCTCTCAGTACACATACGGTAAACCACATGATTTTGGGGGAAATCATTGTATCAACCTTTGGCAAGAAATGAAGAGCAGACAAAAATCTGCCGCTTCAGCCATCTTAGGCAAATCCACTTCCAACAACAAATTGACGTTCCTGTTGAAGTACTTCAGATCGCAGTTGTGTTCTCCGCAGCCCTCAAGGTCTTGGGATTTAGGACAAAAACTGCCTCTAAAGGCAACTGAAGGCAGTCAAGATTGTTGCTAAGATCACATTCTTTAAATATATTCTACTGATCCCAATTCAGGAAGGTACTTCAGTATGCATGTAGACCGAAAGCTTACTGAATCAGTGCCACTATCACGGCTAACAGGATGATGACATAATACTGCTGAACGTAGCAGCCTTTGCTTAAAAATATTATGTAATAAATGTTAGTATAAACTGCTGTAAAAACAGAAATCCTTGAAGGCATGCAATTACTCCATACAAATATATGTAAACACAAAAGAGAACTCTCCTGGTAGTGGTTTGTGTTTCAGTGCGTGGCTCCGCACGGATTGACCGAAGTCTGACAACCCATGTTATACCCTGTCACCTGAACCTTGAACAGTGTCCCATCCGCACACATACAGAGCTTGAAACGCAGCCAGTTGCCGTTATTAAACTGTTCCCCGTGAGAAGAACTTGGCAGTCGCGACGGGCTGACCATCACAGTTCCGTTCAGGATAATGCTGTTTTCCTATTAAGAGGGAGAAAAAAAAGTACAACTTCTAATTTAAACAAGGCAGGTTGTTTTTGAAAAGGACAAGCTGATTTACTGAATAAACGACATCTTTAGGATGGCTGTAGAAATCAATAGAATAAAAAAAAAGTACATATGACAAGGTTTCATTTTTCACTTAAATTTGTGAGCAATGCCCATGAACTTCTCAATTATAGTCAGCAATATACTTTGCTATTCCAGAAGTAGGTTGATATTGAGAGAGACAGCACTAGTGTGGCTTTTCACTTTACAGACCTAATATGGACATGAAATGGGAATCGGTGTTTGAATTCATACATGAAATTCATTCACACATGAAATAAAAGTGCATGCATCTCTTGTTTTTTTTATCCTCCTTTAACCTTTTGCATCATTCCATATGCCCTGCAATCTTAACAATCTTCAAAAATCTTAACTGGCAAGTCTTACTGCAGCAGCACAGAACGGAGTGCTCCTAACTGTATGCTCTGCTCCTCTGTCAAAGGTTGCTGACCCCAGTAAAGCCTCCAGAAGCAAAGACGAATTCCCTTTGGTATTTGTTTCAGTGCAGAGGCCAACAGCTTAGCTTTACTTGCATCGTGGGTTTTTAGTGTCTTAACACTAGTAAATTATTGTTACCTGAAAACTCTTGAACCACTAATTAACAGCAAAGTAATAAACTGCCTTTTAAAATCCTACTAAATACACTGACTGCAACTACACTTTCACACGTGACTACTTTGTATAAAATCTGAAACCACATGAAGCTACATCAGTTTATTATCAGCCTGAATTTGAAACTAAGCTGTTCAAAAAGTGCTGATTTGAAATACTTACTGCTTTAAGTTCCATGTTACCCCCCATTCGAAACTCAATGGTCTTGCCTGTGATGAACACACCTTCATTTCCACGGACAATAGCATGGCCATCGACCTTTATGTTTAGATCACTGGTCGCATTGCTGGTAATCTAAGAACATAAACAAAGAAAGTGTATTACAAATCAATGAAAATCTGTCACTTGGGTTTGTCTGAGTAACTTTAATTACCTTAAAAATACTGCTACATAATTTAATAAAAACCCTTCAATGTCCTTTTTGCCCTTCTGCCATTATGCCTGCGAAGCTTCTGCCCATTTGTTATTTTCCACATTCAGATTTAAAACCAAGGATTACTTAATTTTGGAAGGTATGTAAAATAATTTATTTTTGCAATAAAAATAACAATCCATATGACAATTTCACGGGATACGCAGTGAACACTCATAGCGAATACAGGCTTCCTCTTAGGACTGATTATGTAAACTTACTTTTCTGTTTTCATTTAATCTGTTCCTCCTACATATTTATAGGTTTTGTTGTTTTGTTTTTTTTTCCTGGAACGTACTATTTAATTGTTAGCCTTGCAGAGGAAACATGAAGAAGACCAAATTAAAATCTCTTT